AAAAAAAAAAAAAAAAAAAAAAAAAAAAAAAAATCCATTGTGAGAAGTGAGAACACAAGTCCCAGGGGGCCAATTACATGTATTAATATAAAGTAAGCATATTTAATTAATTAATAATTAATTTAGAGAGAGCCTTGCTATGTAGTTCAGGCAGCCCTTGAGCTTTTTTCTTAAAATATGGACTGCTTCACAAATTTGCATGTCATCCTTATGCAGGGGCCACACTAATCTCTATCAATCCAATTCTAGTACATGTGCTGCCAAAGCAAACACGGCCTTGAACTTGGGCCAGGCTGGCCTCCAGCTCACAGTAATCCTCCTGTCTCAATCTCTTTGGTGCTGGCATTATAGGTGTGTACCACCATGCCTGGCGCTTTTTCTTTATCTCTTTTGTATCAGTATTTTTGGTTACTTCCACCTCATCCTCACTGTTAGTTTTGAGGACAGAAACTGAAAATTCTTCCAGTATTGTCATCAACTAGAATTTCTCTTATCAATTCTAAGCTTCTGAAGTGGAAACTATAAAGCATATTTCTTGCCACTATCATGTCAAACAAAATAAAATAAAGGAAAATGTAAGAGAAAGAAAATGCATCAACATGATATAGACTGATTAAAGTGAAAAATGTGATTCAGTGCCAGGACTGGTGGTGCGTACCTGTAACCCCAGCAACTCAGAGGGTGAGGTGGGAAGATCCCAAGTTTAAGGCCACCCTGGGCAACTTAGCAAATCCTGATGTAAAAAAAAAAGGCTGGGGTGTGCAGCTCAGTAATAAAGCCCTTGCTTAACAAGCATCAGAGCCTGGGTTCAACCCCAGAAAAAGAAAAAAAGAAAGTTGCTCAAAGGATAACATTAAGTAAGATGACCCCCACATATAGTTTTTCAAAAAGATTATTCCTTGGTATTATGGAGCTATCATGAAACCAGAGACTCAGCTACTGCTCTGTTCAAGGACACTGGTACTGGGGCTGCCACACCTGTCCCAGAAAGTATATACCTTATCAGGTCCAGGGTGAAAACTCTGATTATGGGGTAGATAATAAAACTGTACAACAGTTTATGAAGCTCATTAACATTTCAAGGAGGAAAGAACGTCACAGTATATACAGAAAAGCCATATAAGGTACTTCTCTTTTCTCTAAGAGTTCTTTCTCTAAGGACAGTCTGTTGTGTCACAAAATAAAAGTCTCATTACAGTTTTGTTTTGTTTTTTTTAATTAGGGAAGGTATAAAACTACAGAATGAAAAAAGTAATAGGAAAAAAAAAGGCAAGTCCACTGGTTGGTTTGTTTTTTTTCAGTATGTGGGGTGGAACTCAGGGCTATTACATAGAGCTACATCCCTACCCCTTTTAAGGAATTTGGTTTTTTTTGAGACAAGGGCTTGCTATGTAGTTCAGACTGGCCTTGAACTCACTTTGTAGCCCAGGCTGGCCTCAAATGCACAGCCATCCTCCTACCTCAGTCTTCTGAGTAATTAATTTTTTTTTCCCCAGTACCGGGTATCGATTTCAGGACCTTGTGCTTGCAAGGCAGGTGCAGTGCCACTGAACTAAATCCCCATCCCTTAATTTGTTTTTGAGACAGGGTCATATTAAGTTGCCCAGGCTGGCCTCAAACTTGTGATCCTCCTTTCTCAAGCCTCCTGAATAGCTAGGATTATAGACATGCATCATCCTACTGGTTTAGAAAACAGCTTTTCAAATGGAGAAAGTATTTCAGCTATACCTAGAGAAAAGCGCTGACTATAGATTAACTTCACTATCTAGCTTCACCAGTTAGAAACAGAAACTGATTGTTAATGGATTAAAAAATCAACCAAGGTGAGTTAGTACATGCCTGCAATCCCAGCACTTCGGGAGCCTGAGGCAGGAGGAGACCAAATTTAAACTCAACCTGGGCAATTTAGCAATTTATTGTCTCAAAACATAAAAAATGGCTAGGAGGGCTGGGGATTTTGCTCAGTGGTGCCACTGCCTGCCTCTCAAGCAGAAGGTCCTGAGTTCTATCCTTGGAGCCCCCCCCCCAAAAAGGGTAGGGGTGTAGCTCAGTACCAAAGCTCTAGGCTCGATCCCCAGTAACACCAAAAAGAAAAAGAAAAGATCACTTTGCTACTTACCACTATGTACTGGCAAGGGCAATAGTCATACTCAAGGTCTGGGTAACAGTAGCACAGATTTCTTTCTTTTCTATTTTCTGGTTCAGGGAATTGAACTCAGGACCCTGCGCAAGTGCAGTACCACTGAGCTAAAGCCCCAGCCCAGATTTATTTCTTTTAGCTGGGGAACTATTGCCCCTAATTCACACTCAGATTACTATTCTAAATTAAGAACTACTTGGAACAGAGTACAGTATCTTATAACTTGTCATGTATTCATTGGACATTTGTGTTTTATCTGGGAACTGCCTGCTAATAGCCTTTGGCCCCTTAACTTGTACTCTGACTTAACAGGTAAGGGATATGAACTCTCAGCACTCCTCAAGGCTAGTCCTCCTGCCTGGAAGTCCATTCCATGTAGTTTCCCCAAGCCATAGCTTAAACAGTATGAAGCCTTTGAGAAGGCTCAATGACTTCTGCTGACCTTGGTTAATCACCTTCCATCCCAGGGAATGAACTTTTTCTTTCAAAGTGTTCCCCATACTTCTTTTATCTGCTAATTTAAAGCTATTTTAGTGCAGAGGGATGTTTGCTGTGTCTGAGCCACACATAGCTGGCACTCAAATACCAGTTAAAATACACAAGAGAATCTTATGAAATGGGTCTTTAGACAAAAAGATGAATTAACCAAGCACGGTGGTACATGCCTATAATCCCAGCACTCAGGAGGCTGAGGCAGAAGGATTGCAGCCTGTTCAAGGGCAGCCTGGGCCACACAGTGAATTCATGGCCAGTCTGAACTACATAGGGAGACAGACCCCTGTCTCCAAAAACAAAACAAGGGCCAGGGAAAAACAAAACAAAGGCTCAGTGGCACAATACCTGCCTGGCAAGCACAAGGTCCTGAGTTCAATTTCTGATACCTAAGAGGGGGAATAATAAAAAACAAACCAAAACCAAAACCAAGGGCTGGGGATCTAGCTCAGTGCTACAGTGCCTACCTTGCAAGTGTGAGGCCCTAAATTTGATTCCAGATACCAAATCAAGTCAAATCAAACCAACCAAACAAAACAAACATGAACAGATAACTCTCAGTCATTCTCTTCTCTCCAAGGCCGAATCTTCACATCAACCTTGATCTCACTAACCAATATAACAGTAACTATGTCCAAATCCTAGTCCCTACAGATAGTTGTGTACACAAATGAGTTAAGGCTGTCTTTTACATTATGACAGTAATTTACCATGAGGTTATGTGAGAGAGACACCCACAAGAACCAGTTAGGCAGCACTATATTTTTCAGCTGAGCAAAGCAGATGTCAGACAAGGACAGCTACAGTGTTGAGTTGTTTACAGGGGAACAACTCCTTTCTCTCTTCACCAACAATAATGTCAAGACAAAGAATATGCCCACAGTAATTTTTGAAATCAGAACAAACTTTTAAGGTCATGGCTCCTGGAAAAGGGCAAAAGTATCACAAAACACGTAGTCAACACAAGGTCTTCTGTTTTACACAGCTGAAAGACTTCTAAAGTAATGGAGGATGGTGCACAGCATCTCCTAAAAAGCCGAGGAGCTATACCTGGTAGGATGGGCTGTAATTCTAACAGTCCAGGAGGACGATCTCACGCTAGAGCTTAATCTGAGCAGTGTAGGGAGACCCTTTCTCAAAATAATAATTTTAATAGGCCGGGATTTAGCTCAGTGGCACCATGCCTGCCTGGCAAGCACAAGGTCCTGAGTTTGATACGGAAAAAAAAAAAAAAAATTAAATTGTCTAGGGATGTATCTGGGTGAGGGTTCTGTATTCAACTCCCAACAACGGAAACAAAAAATGCTGAGGATGAACAGCTATCAGCATTTCAAAGACATTACTAAACCTTTTCCTTGAATTCTCAAGTAGACAATTTTCTTGTTTTTTTTTTTTTTTTTGGTACCGGGGATTGAACTCGGGTCCTTGCGCTTGCAAAGCAGGCCACCGAACCACTGAGCTAAATCCCCAGCCCTCAAGTAGACAATTTTCATATGAAACCTGGACAAATCACTGTTACTCATTCTTTTCTTTATATTAAGGTGGGGGAAGCAAAAGACATTAAAAAGTAAACTATTTTAACTTGATCACTGTTTGTTTTTGGTATTATTGACAGAACTCAGGACCTTGAGCTTGTGCTACAGGCACAGTGCCACTGAGCTAAATCTCCAGCATAACTTCTGATCAACTGTATAAGTACAGCTTGGCTTCACTGTATTTTTTTATTTTTTTAATTTATTTTATTTCTTTTTTTTTTTTTTTTGGTACCAGGGATTGAATTCAGGTCCTTGCGCTTGCAAGGCAGACCATGTGTTTTTTAAATTAATCATTATTTTAAAAACCTTTTATTACATAAACTAGGAATATAATCCCAACATTCTAGGAGGTTGAGGTAGGAGAATCACAAGTTTGAGCCCAGCTTGGGCACCTTAGTGACTTAGTGAGACCCTGTCTCAAAATAAAAAATTTTAAAAAGGGTTGGGAGGGGCTGGGGATTTAGCTCAGAGGTTCCTGCACGTGCTTTGCAAGTGCAAGGACCGGAGTTCTATCTCCGGTACCAAAAAAAGAAAGGACAGGGGTTGGGAATTCTCAAGTACCACAGAACAACGCAAAACAAATGCCAGATGTGGTGGCACATACCTGTAATCCTAGTTCTTGGGAGGCTGAGACAGAAGGATCACTGTCGAGGCCAGCCTGGGATACATCGTGAGTTCAAGGCCAGCCTGAACTATATAAAGACCCTGTCTCAAAAAACACAAAACAAACAACCCCCCAAACAAAACAAAAAAACTAAACAAATGTCCATTATACAACTGTTTAAACATTCATAAAAGCAGAGACTCCGTTAACCAATGATCAACGTATACTCATCATTTTTACCTAGAAACCAGCACACTTCTTCCACATGCTCTACCTCTGACCATGCGAAAATCTGCTTCACTTTAGAGATAAGTATCATGTCTCTCAGCATCTGCTTCCTGGTTATTTTAGTTAGGAGTCTACTTATTTTTTTTTCAAAGATAAAGTCTCTTCTCCATAGCCGAGGCTGCCCTCGAATTTGTGATCTCCCTGATGAGATTACAGGCATGTACCATCACATTTCACGTTATTTTGACATCTTGACAGGCTAAATTACATGAAGGATACTGTACATGACACGGTACACGTTCCCAGTCTGGCAGTTTTATAAAGACCAGTTTCAAAGCTGGCTGTGGCGTGTGGTGGTGCACACCTGTAATCCCAGCACTTGGGAGACTGAGGTAGGAGGATCTCTGCAAGTTTGAGGCCAGCCAGCCTGGACTACATAATGAGTTCAAAACCAGCCTTCAGACCCTGTCTCAATCTCCTCTCCTCCCCCAAAAGAATTAGGGCCCAAATGAATATTAGATTCAGAACCTCAACTGGAATTAAAGAATCTAGGCATTCCTTTCCCATATGAATGGTAAGTGGTTTTAAAATATGTTTACAAACTCTTTGCTATGTATCTCTTCAGAAGGTGAAATCGTTTGTATTTTGTAATAAATAGAATGTAAAAGAAGCCTTAAGATTTCCAAAATCAAGTCATAAAAGATATAGTATTCACATATGGTGATGAATTCTTGTAATTCCAGCATTGAGGGGACTGAGGCAGGATGGTAAATTTGAATCCTGAATGGGCAACCTATTGAGACCCTGTCTCAAATAAAAAATAAAGTATCTACGTTCGGTTGCACATGCCTATAAGTAGTTTAGATCAGGACTGGAGCCAGGAGGATTCCAATTTTGAGTCCTGTTTGTTTTTTTGTTTTAAAGTTGGAGGTATATTTCAGGGCAGAGGGCCTGAATTCAATCCCCCAACAGCACAAATAAATAAATAAAAATTTTAAAAAGCTGAAGCTGTAGCTCTGTGCTAAGAGTGCCCAGGTTTGATACCCAGTACCAATGAATGAATGAATAAATGAATGTTATAATGGTTTCCATATCCTCCCAAACCCTCTCTCAGATGACTAGCTATGAGGGAAGACAGTTACCTTGTGAGCACAACTGGCCTAGGGAAAGGCCTCCAACCACTAAACTTGTGAGTGAGACATCCTGGAATTAAGTCCTCCAGCCCCACAGGGGCAGCGAGCCACCATCACTTACATAGACTCTTGCTGAACTCTTGACTCACAAACTGTTAAATAAAGGTCATTTTAATCCATTAAGCTTTGTGCCTGTTACACACCAGCAGATAATAACACAAGGAAGTAATGGCAGCAGGAGTCTGAGAAAAAAGCCAGCTCAAAGAAATAGAGCAGATTCAGGCATGGTGGCACACACCTGTAATCCCAGCACCTGGGAGGCTGAGGCAGGAGGATGACTGAGACCTCAAGACCAGCCTAAACTACATAGTGAGGCCTTGTCTCAAAAACAAAACAAAACAACAAAATAGAGCAGAAAGAAGGGACAGGAGAGGGTGGAGAACGAAGACTATGTCCCCCACCAGTACCCAATCTTGATCTCTTTCACGCCCCTGCTCCCATTTTATTCCAGCTCCCTGGACTTTTCCCTCCACATTGTGAACTGGTTCTCATGGATTCTTCACAAGGGAGGCCCAAAGGAACCCAGGCGAGGCAAAGACACCCAGCTGCCACCCGTCCACTGCACCTAGGGTCACTCCTCAGATTTTATGTCTCCCTCCTATTTCTTCTAGTTGTATGCTCCACAGCTGCTCGCTTATTTACTGACATCTCCAAGGGAACAGATTTCGGGTTTTGCCGAGTCCCGCGGCTCTCAAGCCTCGGGAGCTGGGCGAAGCTGCCAGGGGTCACGAGACGACCCGCGGCGGTCATCTGGGCACGGCGTCAGGCTCAGCCGGCTCCTTCCCGAGCCTAGCCGGCCCCAAGCCAGCGCGAAGCCGCGCCGCGAGACACCAGCGGGTTACCTCAGCCGGCCTCCTGACGGGTTACTCGCGACCGCCGCCACGAGATCCAGGGAGCCGCACTCTGGGGCCCCTCTCGCACGACCAGACTCTGTAAACGGGGGTTCGGAGCCGACCTCAGAGCCCGCGACCTGCAACCGAAGGCACCGCGGCGCTGAGACGCGGAAGCCGAGGTGCAGCGACAGAGCCGCGCTTCACCGCCCCCGGCTGGTCC